ACTCAAACTGTCTGCCAAGAAACGCTATTTTATGCGAAGAAGCATATACATCTACGATACAGAAGATATAATAAAAACAACCATCTCTAGCAGTGGGAAGCATTTAAGATTAGCAAAGCAACACCTAACCAATATTTCTAATATTTTCCTTTCTATGTATTTCAAATTCTACTGTACATGATCCATAGAGAGTACAATGTGCACAACTACAATGGATCAACGAAAGAGGATACTGCTGACAGAAAACATTTTCTCGCTTTCCTCCATACCAGTGTACATAGGGCACTCTTCTCTATTTTGCTATTTTCTTTGTCACTCCCTCCAATTTTATTTACCTGACCTTTATCCATGTTTTACACTGAGTTTTCTGGTTTGGAACAGCTCCATGCTACTTCCTTACCAGTTAACCCCTATTTCTTTTTATATCACAAGCTGTCTCTTCCTTTTTCACACATAAGGATAAATACTGCTACTTGAGAGGGAGCAAGACAGCTCCTGTTGTTTTCACAATATGTCTGTTGAGTTTTGTTAATGAAAACACCTCAAGGAAGCATGAAATATTTTAAGAAAACCAGTAGTGGGCCTCTGTAATGAAAAGCAACCAAAAGCCAAACGTCTATCGGCACAATACAGCTGTGTCTGTTTTTTGCTGGACTGAGATTATTCAGATCTCTGAGTATTGTGCTTACTACTGGTATATCCTGACTACAGAATTCAAAACATTTAGAGCTCTAAAGTTATTAGGCTTGCTCTGTAAAACTTGGCATATACTAATAAGTAAATCTCACCCTGTTAGATGACGATCACTTTCTGCAGCTCCCACTCAATGGGTTATGCACTCAATCAATCCAAATGGCTCCCACTAAGACAAACCAGTCTATTGTGTCTATTTAACTCCATGTACACATCCTAAATCTGTGCCAAAATCTGTAAAATGGTAGGCAACCAAATACTTTAAGTTAAATAAAAACTGTTCAGATTCTTCTCCACAAACCCTCAATGTGAAGAGTTGTAATTAATTAAATATACAAATCATTACTTAAAAAAATTATATTTGCTGGGTAATATATATATATTTATATATATTAAAAACCATGGAACATCTCTGCCTCTTTTCAAGACATCCTGTACTAGATTCCCAAAATAGCTGTAGACCAAGGGAAGAGGAAGACGGGAGAGGAAGGGTTGATTTTGACCTATTTAACACAGAGTAAGCCAAAACATTGAAAACCACCACATAACCAACATTATCCACAGAAATATTTACGTCTTATCTAGATGGATCAAATGTACAACATATTTGCAATCTTCAGCTGCTTCTGAAAAAAGTTATTTCAGTACTACCTAATGAACCTGCACCATTTTCTTCCAGCAGTTTATGAGGGAACTGTTTGGAGAGAATTTGAGAAAATGAAGATGAAGGACTGTCTTGGTCACTGTGTTGTCAACTGGCCTGCCCAACAGTTAACTATGGAGATGAAGATGGGGAAAATGTGGCATCCCAGCTGGCATTAGTTATTAAAAAACAAAACAAAGCAAAACAAACAAACAAAACTTAAGCTCCCTAGAGGTATTGTTTTTATAATGTATGTTTATTATGAAGGAAAATAAAGCTAAGAAGAAACAATCAAGTAAAGTAACAAACACCTGGAAAGTCTCTTGAGAATATTGCATTAGACTCACTGAAATATATATAATCTTACATAAAATCAAAATAATTAACATAGGAAAATATTTCCAGTTTGAATAGCTTTCATACCTCTCCATGTTGGTTTTCTATAATCACCTGAATAAGATAAACTTAAAGAAAATCTACAGTATAACCAGCCTAAAGCATATACTCAACAAGTGCACGGCCTGGTCCGAAGAGGTGAGTGGAGTTAGCCATAGTCTCTACTGTACTGCATAGAATCATTACCTGATGTATATTATTTTCTCACAGAATGCAAGGACTGAGTATGAATAGCCATGACACCTGCTGACAGCCAAATATGCCTGAAGCTCTTACTTTTCTCATGTTTATTCAGTGTGTTCTGAATTATGTTCAAAAGTACCAGTACTTAAAAAATATTTTTATAAAGTAAGATAAATGCCAGTTCAAGTTTCTCTCTACAAAAGGTTAAACAAGCAAACAGCTTACAGATTTAACTCTATTGGATACAATAAGACTTTGGAATGCAACTGTAAAACCTGTTACACTGTGAGATGATCATAATGAGAAATATTCAGCAGCTCTATAAGAACTCAAAGTCTAAAAGCATCCCTAGCATACATTTAATTTCTGTAACAGTTGTTCTAAATTCTCCTGTTCAACAAAGTAAAAGCTTTATGATATTTCATGATACTGAAGACAAGCCTTCTGCCTGCAGAGCAGACACCAAATGTGACAGGACTGGAAGAGAAATGCAAGGCTGGTAATTTTAAAGTAAGTTAACATTAGAATTAACAGAAATGAGCTCAAGCCAAATAACAGTCATTGTTTAGTCTAACCTCAAAGCAAAAATTTGATATCATTAATGTTAATACATGACTCCAGACAATGGTTTGCATTTATCTTAAGTCATTGGTGTTTACCATGACTACACAGTGAGCAACAGCAAGCCCATTGCTCAGAAAAGAGGTCCATAGATCCAAAAGATTATTTCCATGTGTGTGTCTCTCTCACATTATTTCAAAAGGTTTTGTATCTAGAAATTACAGCTAGTGTTCAATGGTATTCCTTTTGGTTTCTACCAAAATCAAGGCCAAATTCTGGTGACTTTGCAATGAACAAGTTAAGGTCTTGTATGCCAAGTGTTTTGTTCTCCGCTTGAATGCCTCTCTTCCCATTTACTTCAGACCTATCAGGATATATTAATATTTGTGTACAGTTCATTGCTAAATGAACTTTTACATGTTACATTTAAGCAGATATATATATAATCATGGTACAGAATCTCTTCTGAAGCTGTAAAATGAAAGAAAAAAGCTGGAAAATTAATGGCTCTTTTTAAGAAGCAGGTATCATCTTCAGGTAATTTAAGACTTTAGACAAATGTGTGACAAAATGAACTATACATGACCCCCCAGCAGTTCTACAGACAGTCTGGAAAAACTTCTATCAAAGGTCAACATTTCATTATAGAGACATAACAAATAACAAACTGACTTCAGAATACTAAAAATAATATGCAGTTGTATAGTCAGTTTGCAAGCAGCATATCACAGTACTGTAATATGCTATCACCTTTAAATGAAGACCAAATTTCTGGAAGTCACTGAAACATTCTCTCTTTATCTAAACAAGAAAATATTTTGCACTACCTTTCACTTTACAAGGGGTGAGATGTAACACGGACCTAGCAGACTGCAGTTCCATCAAGAAAACCCTCATCATTCCCACACTGCTCCTAGCAGCCTAGGAAGTAAGTATGTTCATCTCTCTCCCTTCCAGACTAGTTTTAATGAAAACTCTTTTCATTAGGCAAATTTTTTTTCTTTGCTCTTAAAGCTCTGGAAGGGAGAATCCTAAACACTAAAACAGGTCCTATATTAACAGTTTAGTGTAAACAAAGTTTAGAAGTCCATGTTAGCCCCTTACTTCACAAGTGGTGTTGCTCAAGGTGAGATTATTCAGCATTTTCCTGGCATCTTGAAAGAGCAGCATCAAGTTCTGTGTCACTGAGACCTCACAACACAGCTACTATTAAGGTCATCCACAGATTAGGCCCAGGGCTATAGCTTACGTTATGAAAAAACTCCTGTACATCACAGAATGCCCCCAGTTTGAGAACAAATGCTGTCAACACTTCTGAAAACACAAACATGCCACTAAGGCATTAAACAAAGTATTTCAGTAGAACAATCACATTAATACAACTGATAAATTTCAAAATATTATTTCCAAATGCATCATTACAATTGCAGCAGTATCCCTAAAATCCCAGTTCTGTTTAGAAAGATGTTTCTTTACAACTAGTTCAAAATAACTGAAAGGTTCTTTCAAACAAAGTTATAGAAGTAGTAACAAATGTTACACAAAAACACATTTATTTTGTACCAGTTGCTGCTACCATGCTTCAGTTTCTTCTTGTCTTTTGGATGTAAACCCGCAAGAGTCTAAGGCCAAGTTTTATCCTTAAAGTGTTGAGATAACTTCAAAACTTGACCTCAAACATTTCCAAGTAATCAAAGTAAATGCTAGACAATTTTAGTCTAAAGCTTGAACAGCCTCTTCAGTAAGAAGAAGCTGAGACTTGTCTTATTTCCTTTCTTATATCTGCTCTTCTTTAATTTCCCAGGTAATTAAAGTAAAACACACAAAGCATTGAGCAACTGTCCTATGAGCAACTTCAGCAGCTGAGCACAGATGGCTGAAACTATTCAGATAAGAGAGATAAACATCTTGAAAAATAAACACATAAACTTCTTTCACTCTGCCATGACCATGAATACAGCTCCACGCTAAAAAAAAAGAATGGTGTTTTGGTTACACACAGAAGTAAAATCTGCCTTTTATTATTATTTGAAAGTGTCCTGGTCAGACAAAACAGCAAACAATTTGTAATGCTTAAATAAAAAGGGGGTGTTATACCTACAGATGGCAGCGGGGGGGCGGGAGCGGGGAGGTGTCGAGAAACAACAGCAGAGGTCAGCTTTTTTTTTTTTCCTCGCCCGGAGGCGAGGAGGGAAGGCCGCGGAGGGCTGCGCGGGAGCGCGCCAAGGCGCGGGGATGGTGGCGGCGTGCGGCGGGGGCGCGCGGCCGGCAGGGGGCGCTCTTGGTCGCGGCAAGGCGCGGGCACAGCCCCGGGAGCTGCCGCAGCCGAGCCCGCCTCCCCCAGCCCCATAGGTGGGGGGGCGGGGGGCCATAGGGGGTTAAGAAGGTGGGGGGGTACACACACGACGCCCCCCTCCTGGAGCTCCGGAGGCCGCGGGCAGCGCTCCGCCTCGGAGGAGGAGGTGGGGGGATGCGAGAGCCCTCCCCGCGGAAAGCAAGCAGCCCCCAGCCCCTAAGTACTCACCATATTGACTTCTGACACCATATCTATACTGGCAATGTCTATGTTCATGCCAACGGCCACGGGGGGACCTGCAAACCGACAAGATGGTCTGCAATGTGATCGCGAAGAACTTAACTCATTCTTACCAGAGTTACAACGGACTAAGGCATGGCAAAAAACGAAACGAGGATTACGAGCACGAAGAAGAAAAAGCCAGGATGACAGCGAGGTGCGGTGTGTGTGCGCCCCCTCCCCTCCCCTCCCCTCCCTTCCCCCCCGTGTCCTCCCTCCCCAGCCCCCCTAAAGAAAGCAGCCTGCCCCCATCCGCGGGGAGCGCCGGGTTCTGCTTTTATATAACGTGCACACATGCGGGCAGCTGGGCTGCGTGGGGGGGCCGGGGGGGGACGTGGGGGGACCCGAGGGGACGAGGGGGCTCCCCCCCCTTCGCGCACCGGCAAGCGCCGCTCCGCCGCCGGCCGCCGCGCTCAGCCCGGGACGGGGCGGCCCCGGGGGCTGCGAGTGCCCGGCCCGGGGGGGGAGGAGGGAACACAGCCCCCAGTGGCCCCCTCCGAAAGGGCTAAATGGCCGGAGAAAGCAAATAGTGGGAAGGGGGAGAGCACAGGGGGTTAAATGCCGTTTGGGTAGCAGCGAGCAGCGCAGCTTGTACTCAAAAATAGTAACCGCGGTGACAGGCACGTTAGGCTCTGAGGAGCCAACGTTGGGTAAACTTGAGGGGTTTGCATCTCGAGAAAGCCAGTTAAACGCGGACTGAATTACAGGTTAATTAATTGTCAGCTCACACACACAATGAGGGACCAGTTCTAAATATGCAAGACGTGTAAATGATCGCGTTAAGAACGCCCTATGCTAAGAAAATCGAGTACCAATTGGCTTAACTTTGGATCAGCTTTAGAAAATGGCATCGCACACGCTCCAGAGCAACAGCATCCACAGCACGCTTCAAAACCATGCACACGAAGGTACAGCAGCCCAGATATGTAACGTCTCCTAGTCAAAAACTGTCAAATTACCTCCAAAATCTGGCCTCAAGCGAATGTCATAGCCCTTCAGCAGTCTATCCACGGTCTCTTTTACCAGTGACATATTACTAGGGTCATTGACACTAAAGAAAAAGAGAATAATCATACATCATTTCTTATTTCTCAGACCCCAGCTGTACATTCCCCTTAGCAGTAACATGCAGAGCAATTCAAAGTAAAGCAAAAGAAATATGTTCATCACTTACCTCTGAGCACAGACCACGGCGATTATTAAAGGGAAGGACCAAATTCCAAAGTAACCCTTCTTCCGGACTCTCAGCATCCCTTTAGCTTTTGATATGATTTAGGTTTTCAGTGAAGAGAAGAAGAGATCCAACTTATTCTGGCCAGTGCAGTAATTCTAATGTGAGGCGCATGCGCACGGCGTACCACAACATCAAAAGGAGCAGTGGTTGCTGCTGGAGATGGAGCAAATTTCCTTGAAAAAAAAAATTAAAGGGGAAGAAGGAAATGCATTATAATAAAAAAAAAAAAAAAAAAAAAAAAAAAAGTCATGCACAGGAGGCTCGAGTATATTTTTGTTGTCCTTTTTGTTAGCAGCGAATATAAATCCCAGCAAGCAGCGAAGTTTTGGGAGTTGTGCAGGGCACAGCGCCTTTGTAACCCAGTTTAAAGGGGGGGTGGGGGCTGGACGGGCTGGGATTTGACACGGAGTGGGGAAAGGTTAGAAAAGGGAATGCACCGGGTACGTACGGTGCCAGGGGCAGGTGGGCAGCCTAACTTTTCGTCCCTGGAAAGACCTGCCTGAAGAGCTGCGAGGTGCGGACAAAGGAGACGGAGCTTGCAACGGGGGCGGGCGGAGGGGGAGGAGGGGAGATGGGCGCCTACAGGATTTCTCACGAAAAAAAAAGGAGAAAAAAAAAAAAAAAAAAAAAAAGCAAGCGATGACGAATAGTTTATTGTAAAAGGGGATTAGGCTACTTCCTGCCTTACTATGCTGCCAGGCTCTGGTCCTGGGGCAGAGGCACTGGGGCGGGAGAGGGGCTACAGCTGTCGCCGCCAGCTCCCCCCGATCCCTCAGTGCCGCCCGCCCGGCCCCGCTCCCCCCGGCTGGCTCGACCAGCGCAGTCTCCGTACCTCAGCCCGTGGTTAACCCCGGGATGCGAGGTCCTCAGGTAGAGAGAAGCCTAAACGGGGAAGGGGAAAAAAACAACGCCCCGAAAGGGAATCAAGCGTTCGGTGGGCACAGAGACCTGGTGCAGGTTCGCAAGCCAGCCCTCTTACCTTCGTGGCTGAGCCACCCGAGCTCTCCAAATGCAGCGTGTGATCCAATTAATGCCTCAGAAGAAACCAGAGACGAGTAGAAAGCTGATTTGGGGATGCTCTGAGTGACATTTAAATTCTGAGCAGAAAAGGAGAGACAGAAGAGAGAGAGGTGAAAAAGAAAAAAAGTACCACTCAAAACGAACCAAAAAAAAACAACAAACCAAAACAAAAAACAGTGGATTATCAAGGATTCCTCGCCAACCTGCCTTGTGCTCACAGCACCTTTTACATCACCTCCTTCTCCTTCTCCTCCTCCTGCTGCTGCTGCTACCGCTGCCCAGAGCCGCCCGGCACTGCCGGAGAGATCGACGTTGGGCGTGCACACGGCCGGGCCGGGCCCGGGACCACCGGGGGCGTCAATTACCAAAAGAAATATTTAACTAGCTGCAGGAGGAGGGAAGAGAAGGGGGAAAAATGCAGCGGGGGGAGGGACGAGGGTGAGGTGAGGTGAGGGAGGTGAGGGAGCTCCGGAGAGCCGCTGTGCCCCAAACCAACGCGGTCCCGCACGCCCCGTGCCCGGCCCGACGGCCACGCGTGGGGCTGGGGGTGCTGCCCTGAGAGGAAGAAGAAGAGGAGGAGGAGGAGGAGGTGTCCCTCGAAGGACGAACTGGTTGCAGAGGCGGTGGGACGCCGTCTCCCCTGGGGGAACCACAGGGAACCGAAGCCGGCGCAGCGAAGAGCCAGCGGACCCCAGCAGCAGGCGGCCATTTCGCGCAGCCCGGCGCCTGGTGTGCCGGGCCCCGCAGCACTCCCCTGCTGCCGAGCCGGGACTCTCGGAGAGCTCACCGGGATCCACCGGAGCCCTGGGGAGTCCTAGGGGAGCCGCCGGCGGAGCCGCTCCCCCGGCCCGGCCAACGGCAGAGGCGCAGGTGCCACAGGCACGAAGGAGCCGCGTCCCCCCCTCTCCGACACTGCCTTAAAGCCCCACCTTGCACCGCCGAGAGCAAGTGTCGGGTCGGTTTTCTGCTTGCAGGGGAAAAGGGAGCTTCCTTAGGGCTGCTGGGAGGGAGGGGGAATTCACTAGGGCATTCTCACTTTCCTCTCCCATTTGAAAACCATGACAATTACAGAAGGAGAAAGTACTTTTCCAAATGAAACAGACAAGACTTGCTGTGTGTGCGTGCATGCGCGGACTAAATATAAAAATTCCCCTGAGTGTATTTAAATGGAGCCCAACTGCAAGAGACTAAGCACGAACGGGTGCGCGGTTGCCCGAGGCAGGAGCCGCCCCCGGCACCGCTGCCTCACGGAGCCGCCCCCGGCCGCCGCTGGAGGTTTCTGCTCTCACGGTGCTGGGCTGCTTCGCTCAATCCTCCTGAAATACAGCCCCGAAGGAAGATGGTGGATACCGCATGCTGTGAATCAGGTTGCTTTATGTGCATAACAGGCATTTTTTCCCCTTCTGCAATCATACGGCAGGACGGAGGGCTCAAGGTAAAGCACGTTGGTCCCGCACTGTGAAACTCACCCTCGGGTGCTAACGTGGGACCGCATCTAATGATGCTCATCCCTCAACTGGTTCCAAGCCTCAGCTATTAATTGCCTTTACACCACAGAATTGGTGTGTTCACCGTATCTGAACGTGAACCAGCTTCAAACAAGAGCCTGAGAGCTGGCAATAGTCAGTGCTAGAGCCACAGGACTTGTAGATCTTAACATCGGGGCTAGAAAAGAACCGTCTTTCCCTAAAAATGCTAGCCTAGGGCACACACTGAATTCGAGAATTCAATGTATCCAGCATTTGTTCCTCATGCATGCACGGATACCGAGGGAACGTTTGTTCTGCCCTGGGACACCCCCGTGCAGGGAAACCTGCTCTCAGGCTGGCTGAGAGGCACGGCGCATCCCTCAGCCAAATGCAGTGCATATGGATATAATGGTGCACTCCATGTGGAAGAGAGAGTGTATATCCTTTTTAAGTTTGAAGCTTCTGTTGAGCCAAGCTTGGGATGCTCTCCGTATTTTATGATTTTGACTTGATGTGAACAGCCCCCTGTCTACATGGGTCTCTACCAGTAACATATCCTACCACCATGCCAGTCCTTGTGTGATAGAGATATCATCATTAAGTATTGGCACGGAGTACAAAGTCATACAATACTCTACTTTTTGAAAACTGTTTAATGATTTGCTATACACTTTTGACAGTACCACTTTTTGTCTGACCATGAGTTCTGGTCTATCTCAAATTCAAAATTTCAAAATTAAAAATTTCTTAGCACCTTCATTATTAAAAGTTTTTCTGCACCCTCAAAATCTCCATCTTATTTTAAGCAACTTGTCAAATAAATGGTTTCCTCTTTCTTACTTGTGTCTGTGTGTTTGCTTGAAAAGGGAAGGAAATGACTGTAATGAACAACAGTATTGGCAAGATGCAGAACCATTTGTGTAACATATTTAGGGATTGCTATCTAAGATTTGGGCTGTCTTACAATGGAGAAACAACCCAGTTCCTGTTTGGATATGATAATTACTTTTAGCTCTAAAATTATTACGAGATTACAAATACTACAGAGATAACAGAGAAACCAAAAATTTGGATGCCAATTGCAGATCATTGTGATTCTTAGCTTTCATCTTTGAACAGTGCAAAAGAATACCCAAATAACATTAAAACACGCTAAAGTAGTCTGCTATCCTTGTTGGCCATTGTGTGACACTGTATAAGAAATGGGCTATAGGCAATGTCATATTTTGTTTGTCTTGTCAACCCTTGACTGTAGCAATATATTCCTGTCACCATGAGCAATATCCCAGGCCATGTACCAAGAACTGCACTGAAGTGATTTTAAAGTACTTTGCTGTAAATGTATAGATTTTGCAAAATATACTTTCAGATGGGATAAGAATTTCCAGAGAGGTTCTCAAGTGAGCCAGTCACTCCAGCCCTGAGACAAAAAAGCTGCTGATTTATGGCAGCCCAGGAACTGCATCTCCGTACCATGAGTAATATGAACAACCCCTCTTTAAAAAGGGGTAAAACCCCACTTTAGAAGAAATCCTTTCACTGCATCTCAACAGGTAGGTATGCATACTGTTCTTTGGAAGTAATGTTTCCCAAGTTCTTGAGCATTTGGTAAGATGCAGTAATACTGGAAACACTCTGTTGAGAGTTGTTTCCATCTATAAAATTTTATTCAGTAATTTTCAGCAGAATCCTTGTAATAATTTACTTTGATGCATTTTCTATTTCCAACTTCTGTGAAGTTATAGATGCAAGTAAAATCAAACAGACAAGCCCAGTAAAATTCTCCCAAACAGAGTTTGAATGTACTCCCATCTTGGTTTCACTTGTCCTTTTAGGTGGTCAGATCATGTCAGCATCCATGCACCATACACCATCCTATTTGCAATCAGCCCATCAGTATAGAGATTGACATTACAACACATGCACAGAAACAAATGATTCATGGAGATGCACCTTGATTTTACTCTTCACAACCAATGGAATTTGGTTTTGTGTAGTGAAAATCATCTGGGATTTCCCGATTCCAATAAGCTTTGAATACTGTATATCTAGAAATCTCCAAAGTGGTAAAGCAACCTAAGACAATAGTGTATGACCTGCCAATTTTGGCCCTTAAAAACAGGTGAAATCATCAGTACTGTACAAAAACTGAGTGTGATAAATAGCTTAGGAAATAAGTATCACTTGATACAGTGAGAATTCCATTTATTTGTGAGAGGAAAGCAAACGAGAAGGGCAAGTAAGTCTCTATTTGGTTTACATCTTTACGTAGGACTTCATTTACTGGGGTTCAGATTTGTTCATTCTGTGACTCATTGCATGGTGTCCCCACAGGGTTAAAGACATTACAGATAAGAATTTAACCCAGCTCATGACCCAGATAGTTATTTGAATCAGAAAATGCTGTTATATCTTTTAATAAAAATATAGCCTCTTATTTTTTGTATAGCCTGGGATCAATATGCCTTACATGTATATAGAAAAAAGTCTTTTAATGTGAAATCAAAGTACAGATTCAAAAATGGAAGTAAAAGGTTGTATGAGAAGCACAAGTGCTTTGATTTAAGGCAATTGTCAGCAACTCAGTGGGGACTGGAGTGAAATACAAAATGTGCAGCACCTGGAATTATGATGGAATGAAGTCTACAGTCCTCATATGAGGCACCACAAAAAGCCCCATTTCCTTCAAAGTGGAGGAATAAATTAGTTTAACAGTTACACAGGCAATTTTTGAATTCCTCATTTTTGGTTACATTGGCATTTATATAGCTAGGAAATATCTACAGCATACACATCCTTTGACAAGAAGGCAGAGCAGGGCACAAGGGATGACTGCATAGGGTAAGGATAGTAAAACATTTAAAAGGCCACCCAAAATGCAGACCAAGATTATGTCACTCTATGAGTAAATCTCCTCCACTCTCTTCTCGTAAGATTCAGCCCTGAAAGCAGATTGCAGAAACCTGTTATTAAATTAATGGAGTGGCATTTGTCTGCATCAATTGATTGCAGGATTTGGTCTTCATTTCTAAGCTCTCTTGGACAGAGTTGACTTCAGAATTTGTTGTTGTTCCAGAATATTGTTAAAAACAACATCTGAGGGTTCTAGAGCTTTTAGGTTAGAAGCTTTTGCTGAAAATTGAAAACTATTTTATTTTCAAGGCCATTTAAGCTTTTAAAACCAATTTTGGGTCTGGTTTAAAAAAAAAAAAAAAAAAAAGTATGCAGGTTTTAAGCCTAAATAGAGGTCTACATATTTCCAGATAGATTCTTCCCCATTATGGCCATCACCTTGACCAGTTAAGGGGATGACACTAGAAAAAAAAAAAAAAAAAAGGCAAGATCTGAGATAGAAAAAGTAGTGAAGTGGAAGAGAAAAAAAGAATAGTAGAGGCAATGATTATATTTTACTGTGTTGAAGCATAAAGAAAGGAGAGCCATTTATTTAAAAGGGAGGCCAGGGGAAGAAAAAAACCACCTGCTCATTTAAAGTAATATTTAAAATGTGAAACAGTACTTCTATCTCAGAAATCAAGCACAGCTCTTACATGAGTTCTTTATTCTCTGGACAAAGGGAGACTACTGAAGTGATCATTGAGACTCCTGAGCTCTGTGATATCAACTACCAAATATGTTTTGATCCAGATTGAGACTTAAAAAATGTATCTTATTTTCCTGTAAATAAGGAAACTTCACAGGAGACTTTTAATCTAATTTGCCATTTGTAGTTGTAAGAGATTTCACATTAAAAATGTCTTAATAAATGTAAACAAAACCCAAAGAAACCAACTGTGACCAGAATATGACAGCCAAAACATAATCATAGGATCGATTTTAAAAATGAAAAATATTTTACATGTTTAATTAAAAAGATGCTATTATTTGATAAATTTTCCAACTCAAACAAGATCCTTATATTATCTGGTAGACAATCATTCTGGTTGAAAACAAGCAGAAAAACAGAGAAACTTAGTGACAGAGTTCAAAGAGAAGTATTATCAATGAACATAAGCAATAATTTAACTGCTCTTCAAGCATTTTCTTTCTTTAAGAAAACTAGGAGAGTACAGGTTTGTATCTGACTGTACAATGGATTATAGCTGTCCTTTTACTGGTGTGCTAGAAAGGGAGATGAATTTGCCATCTGCGAACACACAGAGCTATTACTTCCAGCCGTCTCTGAGAACAAATGGAGAACACACAGTGCTCCTTATCGTC